TCCCTGGTTCTGCCTGCTTGGGGGAAAGGATGTGGCATGGGGTGGGTACTAAGGGGAGGTTGGTTTGGGGGAGGGTCTGCATTGGGGCAAGTTGGGGTTGGAAAAGTATTCTAGGGGGGTTGTGGGTCTTGGGTAGGTTATGGGGGCGCTCATTTTAATATAAATAAAAATCATTTTCTGTCCATTGCATTAATTCCCGTATCTCTCCCCTCCCATAAAGTTTGTCACTCAGGGGAGGAGTTCATGCCTCTCCCTTGTTCCCAGCCATGGGATGCAAGGACGGAAGGACAGTGCTGAGGGGGCTCCTCACAACAGGCAGGTCGGAGCTGTTTCAGACACTGCTGCCAGCTCCTAGCTGAGGCAGACCTGGGCCCGCGGAACTCTCCTCCACAGGATTTTTGCTCTGCTGACAGATTCCCTTAGGCCAGGACCACAGCTTCCTCACACTTGGCACTTTGGTTGAAATGGATGGGACAAGGAAATGCCCCTGAAATCTCACTGTGCCTGGGGCTGCCCAGATCCCTTGCTGGAGACAGGACCTGTTATGCTAGGCACCACCTGGACCTGGCCACATAGTCCTGATCCTGCTGCTACTCAGCTCCGCAGACTTGTTTCCTTCTCTCCCCCCGCCAGCCCACAGGGCAGTAGGTGTTTTGCTTGCTCCCAGCACGGCTGTTCTGTGACCCCCCACTCGCCTTTCCGCTTTGGCCAGCTTAGGGCTGGCCTGGCTCCAGGGCAAATACCCGCCAGGGAAACAAGCTCAAGTTTTCCACAACGGGAAAGTGCAGAGGCAGGGCCTGGGAGCTAGGGTTGAGGCCAGGAACCACGCAGAGGACAGGGCTCCCAGGGATGTGCAGCTCTGCCCCTTCACATTGCTCCCACGCCGTGTGGGAAGGGGACAGGCACTGTGATGGGGAATCTGTCAGCAGAAGGGGGAGGGTAGGACCAAGAGTTACCCTGTCCTATGCAAGGAAAGTGAGGCACGGGGGGAGGATAGGGTCAGGTGCACAAGAGAGCCAGGGAGACAACCCAGGAATCCTGACTCCCAGCCCCCCTGCTCTGACCCACCAGCCCCCACTTCCAGATGCAGAGAGGAGCCAGGAGTCCTGGCTCAGGCAGCCCCGCCCAGAGCGGGTGCGTGTTTGCACTCCCCACAATACAGGTCGGGAGCCAGGGCCACACGGCAGGCATAGGCCAGTGCTGGCGTCACCCGCTGTGAACAGGGGAAGCAGACGGTGATAAGATAAGCAGCTCCCCTGGGTTGCATCCTGCAGCAGGGGAAGCGCAGGGCAGGGGGACAGAGCAGCCCATTGTTCTGAGCTGATGGGAACAGCAGGCGCTGGGCTGGGGGCCAGGTTCCTCCCAAGGCTACACAGATGAGTCCCCAAGAGCTCCTGCCTGCATGGGGAGCAGCACTGGCCAGGGACGGGTTATCAGTGCTGTTCACAGGAGGGCGAGCAGGGAAATCAAATCAGAAGGGACTGCAGATGGGAAGTGGGGGGCACTGGCAAGTTGGGGGGGCGCAGGGATGGGCTGGCAGGAGCTGTGTATCAGGAGTGAGAACTACTGGCAGAGCTGGAGCAAGGAGGCAGGAGTGGGCTGGCCAGGGCTGCGAGTCAGGAGTGAGGGGCACCAGCAACGCTGTGGGGCTGTGTCTACACTGGCATGAATTTCCGGAACTGCTTAAAACAGAATACTATTCTGTTTTCAGTTTTTCCGGAAAAGGAGTGTCTACATTGGCAGGCTGCTTTTCCGGAAAAGCCCTTTTTCCAGAAAAGCGTCTGTGGCCAATGTAGACGCGCTTTTCCGGAAAAGCCCTTTTTCCAGAAAAGCGTCTGTGGCCAATGTAGACGCGCTTTTCCGGAAAAGCCCTTTTTCCAGAAAAGCGTCTGTGGCCAATGTAGACGCGCTTTTCCGGAAAAGCCCTTTTTCCAGAAAAGCGTCTGTGGCCAATGTAGACGCGCTTTTCCGGAAAAGCAGCCTGCCAATGTAGACACTCCTTTTCCGGAAAAACTGAAAACAGAATAGTATTCTGTTTTAAGCAGTTCCGGAAATTCATGCCAGTGTAGACACAGCCTGGGAGCCCAGGGCTGAGCTAGCAGGGGCAGTGAGTCAGGATTTGGAAGCAGGTTACTTTAGGTGTGTTTGTGTTCAGAACAGCAGGGAACCCCTAATACTAACCCTGGCTCAACTACTGGTGCCCAGACATAAGGATGATGGGGAGGGTTTGAGGGAGAACAAGACCCAGTCATTCCCAGGCAGTGCCAAGGTATCTGGCTTATTGCTGGGCGGGGACCCAGAGACCCACAGGATAAACGAGGCCCATGGCTGCTCCACTGGGTTCCCCATGGGTTTTAATGGACAGAATGAGTCCCAGCAGCACCCCGCAGGCATGTCCTTTGGCAAAGAAGCAGTGTGGTCCATCCACTGGGTGCATCCTGTCCCCGGCAGTCCCATCTCACAGGTACTGGGGGCTTCCCAGGCTCTCCAGCTCCACCTCGATTGAGACAATGTGGTGGCCAGGTACCATGGCCAAGCCCAGCACACGGGGCTCGCTGGCCGCAAAGGAGTCTGTGGGTGAGAGGAGGGAGGTGGGGTCAGAGAGTCAATGCCTCCACACCAGCTGGCCCCTCCCCCGGGGAATGAGCTGTAAGGCACCAAAGTCCTAATGAGCTGCCATGCGGCTTCAGAGAGGGGAAACTGAGGCATGCGCCTAGGGGACTAACCACCAGCTCCCAGAGCTGAGGAGAGACCCCAGGAGTCCTGGCTCCCAGACCCCGGCTCTGACTGACCAAGCCCCTACGCCCAGCCCCGAATCAGCAGCGCACCCGTGGCTTTGAGATATTCCTGCGCAGAGCCCAGGATGACATTGCAGTCGCGGTCGGTGCAGAGGAAGCAGCCGACGAGCGTCCGTCCGTCCGTCATGCGGATGCGCATGTTCCGGAGGAGAGACCCCAGGAGTCCTGGCTCCCAGACCCCGGCTCTGACTGACCAAGCCCCTACGCCCAGCCCCGAATCAGCAGCGCACCCGTGGCTTTGAGATATTCCTGCGCAGAGCCCAGGATGACATTGCAGTCGCGGTCGGTGCAGAGGAAGCAGCCGACGAGCGTCCGTCCGTCCGTCATGCGGATGCGCATGTTCCGGTTGAGCA